TGAATGTTGGAGCAAAATGTTTCCTCATTTTGCTTTGTTTTCTGGGTTTCGGCTGCTGCTGCTGCTACTGAAGTCAATGTATTTCTACAGCCAAGCTGGCTAGTCTTATCGGTTTTGTTTTGACTTGTTTTCTAGATATCCAAAGCCGAAGCTCGTTTTTCAGATAAAATAATTGTTGCTGCCGCCTGTGACTAACTGTCCGCATGTTCGTTCCTGACTGTCCTTCATGATGTTATCGGCAAAATGAAAGGGAACAATCTCCGGTTTTCAATTTTCTTCAGTACTATGGACAACACTATTCGACCAACGAGTCAAACTAATACAGAGTGCCGAAGGGTCATGATCAGGGAGTAAAAAGGTAATTAACTTTTGTTAAGCTCACTTTCTTATAGATCATACTTCACCACTCGCAAATCTGTGTTTTTTTTACGGTTTGCCGTCAACCGGTACCTAATATGTTCACCCTTACGATGAAAAGTACCTGCAAAATTTCACCCTCATATTCGAATTATTTTTGAAGCACTGTCTTCTACTTTGAGTGCTTCGTACGCCCTAGGGAACTAGATTCCTACATTATTCGTAGTTCCAGTATAACTTTCTCACGCAGTAAGTTCAAAGCAGACACTAGTCTTTCTAAATAAGCCTGTCAAGATAATATCCGTCTTAAAACACGAATTTCAGCGAAGGGATCTCTTTTCAACGAATTTATTATCAAGCTGTACAATCGTATATATATGAAAATTTTGTTTTTGTGAAAGTACTAATTCCGTGAGGAAATGTGAACACAGTTAATAAAAGGTTATAATACCAGATTACGTAATATGAATAATAACAATAGATTTAGTGAATATAATAAGATGAATAAAATGATTATAATGTTTTTGTTATAATATTTGTTAGTATATTTATTTTTACACCTATATGACCTTCAATTATTATAACAAAAACATTTTAATCATCTTATTATATTCACTAAATCTATTGTTATTATTCGTATTACGTAATCTGGTATTATAACCTTTTTATTAACTGTGTTCACATTTCCTCACGGAATTAGTACTTTTACAAAAACAAAATTTTCATATATATACGATTGTACAGCTTGATAATAAATTCGTTGAAAAGAGATCCCTTCGCTGAAATTCGTGTTTTAATTTTAATGTTTAAATGGGGACTGTCTGTCAATATCCGCATTCTCTATTTTAGTTAATCGATGAAGACATGTGTCACGTGCATCTGCTGTATACTGCCATTTTACTCCAATTCTGTTATATCTTACTTCTGAAAAATGAAATTGCTATATGCAGCAAATACAGACTTTTTTTGGTGGAGATAGGGGGGTTCATGGGATTTTTAGCAGGACTGTAGTAATATTCTCACTAAATAGCTAGGCGAGTGCGTAGACCAATGTAAGGTACCATACAGGGTGCCTTTGACTTACTAGTGTTCCATTATTGCGGGTAGGGGCATTGCTTGCTTATCATATGGCATTTGAATAAGAAGCTATGGGATTAGACGCAGGAACGGTCAGGATGTGTAACGCGTGTCCATCCATCAGCTGCCGTGACAACTCGTGGTGGCTAGAATAGGTTGTGAGAGGACCCGAGTTTGTAGGTTTCCCAGGAAAATGACAAAGATATGTACCAAATCACCTCATGAAGAGCGCCTCCAATCACTTAACCTTAACCCATTAGAGTATAGACGTCTTCGGGGTGACCTTCTGATGGCTTATAGTATCCTTAACACTTCTGGACATCCTCTCAAACACCTACTTAAGCTTAGTTCTAACACTAACCTAAGGGTAACACCCAGAAACTGGAGACGCAACATAGCAGAACGGACTGTAGACACAACTTCTACTCCTTAGGAGTTGTCAAATTCTGGAATGCGCTGCCGGCCGAGCTAGTCCAGGCTTCAAGCACTATACTTAAGTATACCATAATTCTTACAACTAAACTGAATTATACGACAACCAAGAACAATTGTTCTTAGTTTAAACTAAGCAAGTGTCATAGTTATTGTTTCATTTGCACAGACATGTTGCTCAAAGTAGTTAAATGGACATAATTAAGCCGATAAAACCAAAACACGAAATATAGGCCAGTTGAACTTACCTAACAGAAGAAAAGGATATATTTATTGCTTTCCGACTGAAGACAACAGTCAGTTGTTCATAGAAACATACTTTACAGTACAACAAACTTTTCTGCAGTAACATTATGCACTGACGGTTTATCTGGAAACAATAAACTATGTGATTACACTCATTATGACTTGGGATAATATCCCAGCGTGCAATAAACGTACAGTGTAACGCAGTCGGAAGTGGCGAATAAAAATTAAAACAGAGAAAAATTAACAACATAATCTAGTTATTTAATTTAAAAATACATTATGAAATGACAAAATCTCTGGTTGCTTGAACGCACAGATGACTCCGTGCAATACATTAAGTTTACGTGGTTCCGTTGCGGATAAATTTACCCGTTGTAGATGCATAGTCAATTTTGGTTATTTGTTATCTGTTCGGGAGAAAAGACTAAATCCATTGCAATAACGATTGTGACTCCAACTGACTGCAGTCTGTTAATTTGGAGGTTATGTAGTACATTATCAAAGGCTTTCTTAGTGTCGAAATATAGTATAACCACTAGATTCTTTTGGTCACGTATGCGAGTAACCTCGTTAAAGAAGTCACTGCAGGACCTTGTTCTAATGAAACCGTGTTGTGATGGGTCTATTAGATCTTCCTTAAGTAGGTGATCAGATAGTTGATTTTGTGTCACTTTTTCCATTATGCGTGATATGACTGGAGTGATATTTATAGATCCGTAGTTTTCGAGCAGGTTTCTCTGTCCTGATTTGTGTTTGGGAAGAACACACGTTACCTTTCAGGTTTCGGGATATATACCAAAGTCTAAAGATAACGTGAATATTTTGAGTGATAGCCTTAGTACGTCCGGTCCTGGTACTTTGTTCACAATCGATGGGATATTAACGGCACCAGAACTCGCATTTGGCTTAAGGGTTTTAATGGCAGTATGCATACTCCTACAAAGCTAATGGTTCTAAGATAATTTTTGTTGATGCATTTGACGTTAATATTGTAGTGACCCACTTTTATCAAGAGAACGCGATGGGCTTAATGGAAACAATCATTACTATAACCAATCGTACAAATGATTGTTTTACTATGCTTGTTTGCTTAACTGTGCTAAAGACAGCCATATTACTACTCCATTACTCTCCATTACTTTCTTGTGGACTGTGACCTTGTACACTTGTACTCTCGCCCACTAATTTTGCTTGCATTCCTTTTGACACGATCCCGGGATTCGTTCGACACCACGAGATCGCCAGCAAAATAAATCTGGTTACGCTCTGTCTTGGCCATCTGGTTTCTCTGGTACGCGCTAGAATATGAGTTTAAGTAAGACTCAAATGCTCAATATAATAGTCGGAGCGCTTCACGGAGAGGGACTACTGTTCTTGATCTTTATAAAGGATCTGATAGATATCATCCGCTTAGCAGCACCAATCTATGCAAACAATGCAAGGATGTAGAGTTCCATTTGAAGAGAAACTGATTCGCTCGACCTTAAGAAGGACCTTAAAACAAGAGAGTAATGAACAGTAGATAATGGGTTGAAACTTGACTAGTTGAAATGTCATGTCATAAGCACTTTGCCTCAATTGACGCAAAGCATTTGCACCCTCCATGGAAATCCTCTCCCGATTGTCTCCTCAGAGCATGATCTCAGGCTTGCAACCACGGAGAGCCCAGACATCAACCCAAACTACATGGGTTGCAGCTAGATCAAACGCAGATCTCCACTTCATGTGAAGACTATGTGGTGCAATCACCATGGAGTCTTTCCTAACACCGTTTGAGACGTACTCATGACACCACCTTTCAGTTCACTACTTCATTGCGTCCTTCTTTCAAAAGAGACATAAGTCTCTTCGACCAAGTACGTAGACGGGCAACCCGGTGAGTGATAGGGCTAAAACGGAAATCTTATGCGGACAGGCTCTACATTTGGGATGCTATCCCGAATGAAGTGACTTGACAGATACGTTCTCACTCATGGCTTGCCAGTTTTCCCTGTGGACTAGTTGTGTCTGACTCATGTCTCATAAATTACCCTGACTATCATTACCGCATGCCGGTAACCACCTCCTGTCTCACTTATTTTCATCTCCGTTCCCCCTCTTGTCCTTTCGACTTCGTTTTCGTTTACACTATCAATTACGTAGATTACTTACTTATGCTTGAGGCAATCGTCTCCTCACAGCACTGGAATTATCACGTGGTAATCTTCGCATTGTGACCAACCAACCTCCTACTTGGTGATGTGACAGCTGCTGGTATCCAGGATGCCTACTGTCCTGAGACAAGCACACCCACTCAAATTTCAAGATATGCAAATCCACAAATATCTGTCTAAGTGACTAGAATTGGTGCAGTCGAGTGGCTAGACTACCATACATTGGACATCACCATATACCTGGAACCGTAGTGAAACAGCGAGAGGTGAGTGCGAAGAAATCAATCGATTTAAACAAGTTGGTCTCAAATATATTGGAATTGTAGGTGTATGCACATACCACAAATGAAGCCTTTAAACGCAACCTAGCATATGAAGTTAAATTCTTCTCCGTCTTTCTCCTAAATTTGAACATATAGGTCTGTGCTTAAACGAACGGTTAATTCACCCAAGCTTGTTATGAGACATTTTGTCTCGATTTACAATCTCTTGCCCTTGAATTGAACGACCACATTAAGTTTGACCTTGGTTGCTTGGTCTGTGTGGCAGATGCGTGTGCATCCTTCTCGGTTAGTTCGACTATCTTTAATCTCCCTACTATTCCTACTATGTATCGCTATTATATATGATAAATATTTGGATAAAGCGCTATCTGGACCTAATTCTATAAGCCAACTTATCCGGAATCAAGATTTTGCAGGTGTACACAACGTAAAGCCATTTAAATAGACTGGGAAAACTACTCGCTTACTGCACTTGAAAGTTCGAGAGTGGGACCTGGAGAGAACGGCATGGCTTTCGTACTATCCCCTCTCGATAGAGAACTATCCAATAAAACCATAAATGAGAACGGTTTTAGTGTGTATGTTAGTGGGACAATCAAAACAGATAGATCTATTAAAGATATTCGCCATCCACGTTGTAATGGAAAACTATATTCTAGCAACCTTCCTACTGCTTCAGTGATTATCCCTTATTTTGAAGAGCATTGGGAGACTCTTCTACGCACAGTCGCATCTGTTTTGAATCGAGCTCCTTCAGGACTAATCAAGGAAATAATTTTGGTTGATGATGGAAGTTCACGAAAATATCTGAAAGATGAACTTGATAATCATCTTGCAACTGCGTATCCAAGTGGTATAGTACGTGTAATTCACCTGGAACAGAGGGGAGGTCTTATTCGAGCGAAAACAGCGGGCGCCAGAGAAGCTACTGGAGAAGTGCTCATTTTTCTGGATTCTCATTGTGAAGCAGGAATAAACTGGCTTCCACCGCTACTTGATCCAATTGCTGCGAACTACAAAACTGTTGTTTGTCCATTTATTGATGTAATAGATGCAGATACCTTTGAATATCGTGCACAAGATGAAGGGGCTCGGGGAGCATTTGACTGGGAGTTGTACTATAAGCGCCTTCCACGATTACCAGAAGATAGATATCATCCCGAGGAGCCTTTTGATAGTCCAGTGATGGCAGGAGGTCTGTTTGCTATCAGTGCGAAATGGTTCTGGGAACTTGGAGGCTATGATCCTGGTCTTGTTATTTGGGGTGGAGAGCAATACGAGTTATCGTTTAAGATTTGGATGTGTGGAGGGCGTATGATTGATGCCCCGTGTTCTAGAATAGGCCATATATATCGTAAATACTCAACTAACTTTCCGAAAGCAGAATTTGGGGACTTTGTTGGTCGTAATTACAAGTGAGTGAAACAGTTATATTATTTTACTGACTATCTAGGACATCGTCTACGGTATTTTCCGTTGAATTTTCAAGTTCATTTCTAACATTCGATAACATTATAGTTTAAGACAAAGTACACTGATTTGTACAAAATCGACATATATTTTATTTCGCTCGTTGAATTTTTTGTGTAATTTTGACCGCACATTTATGATTCGCTTACTCAATTGAAATCTAAGAAAATTTCTTTACTGGAGTTCAGATTTATGCATTTTCTATGAGAAGTGGTAACACTACCTAACTCTTCGGTGATATATGTTGGCTAAATCCATACTTTCAGCTTAATAGTTGCAAAACCAACATTCCTCTAGTTTTCAACTACATGATGGCTTTAGTGTCTCTCATGTATTATCAGAACAAATCTTTGTATCCTTATTTTTAGTAAACTACAACACAAACTGATCAGTTGACTATATACCAAGGATAGGGTTTAATCACTTCAGATTGGTGCAATTTGTAAACAAGAAATGTGCAGATAAAATACTAATTAAACTTAGACAATAAGCTGTTCAGTTTTGAAAGTGATGACACACAATTAAAAATGAATTTCACCCACTTAGTCTAGCGTTGCCAGCGGTCGATCGCTGCTATCATTGTGGATTCAGGTTAGGATCCAGATAAGTATAAATGGATTTGAATTAATGCATTACTGACATGGTGTTGCCACTGAATGTCAGCAATCCTTCGGAGACAGCGATGATCGAACACAGAGAGTCGTCTAACGTCCTCAACTCGGAGAGGCCAGGTTTCACAAGCATAGAGCAAAACTGCTCTCACCGACGCGTTGTAGATCCGACCTTTTACAGCCAGACTAACATCACGAAGGCGCCAAAGGTGGCCCAGATTGGCATAAGCCGCTCTGGCTTTCACTATTCGTGCATTGATCTCATCACTCACACCCCCACCAGCACTTATGCAGCTACCCAGATACACGAACTTCTCAACTACGTCTATCTGCTCACCATCCAGGGTGAGTACAGGATTAGAATCCTGCCAGTCTTGTAGAAGTACTTTGCACTTCGAAGGTGCAAAGCACATACCATACCTACGGACACTGATTGCCAACTGATTAAGTGCGGATTGCATGCCTTGGGCATTATCGCACAGTAAGACAATATCGTCCGCATACTCAAGGTCGAGAAGTCTTTCTCCAGGCAACAGATCCACACCACCATTACTTACATTCATCAGAGCTGTTTCCAGAATGTCATCGATGGCAAAGTTGAAGAGGAATGGTGAGATTGGGCAACCCTGCCTAACCCCACTGCTCGAATGGAACAATGGAGAGAGGTGGTTGTATGCCCTCACTCTGCCTGAGGTGTTTTTATATAGGGCTTTTAGGATGTTAATAAACTTCTCAGGCACACCCTTCTTCAATAGACAATCCCAGAGAACAGTCCTGTCCAACGAATCGAAGGCAGCCCTGATGTCAAGAAACACTACGATTGTTGGCCTTTGATAAGTATGGCGGTGTTCTAACATTTGGCGGAGGGTGAAGATATGATCAATACATCCTCGACCAGAACGAAACCCAGCCTGCTCCTCGCGAGTCAATCTTTCTCGGGTTTTGAACAACCTACGAAGTATGACGGAAGCCAATAGCTTGGACGCAATCGGAAGTAGACTTATCCCCCGATAGTTGTTACAGGAACGACGTGAACCCTTTTTAAAGATAGGGACAACTATCGACTCATTCCATGACGTTGGTACACTCTCTAGTTCCCAAACCTTTGTAAACAACGTCGTCAATTCCTTAGTCAAAAAGTCACCACCATCTTTAAAAAGAGCCGGAGGTAAGTCATCTGGGCCAGGTGATTTGTAACGCTTCAAGAGTTGGAGTTCCTTGCGGACTTCCTCCTCGTTTGGTGGATCAGTCGTCACCGGCCATGGAGGGCAGGACAGTCTGACCGATGTTGCCGGAGCAGCAGGCCAGTTGAACTGCCCTTCGAAAAATTCTGCCCATCGTCCAAGACGTCGATGGATGTTAGTGATTGGCATCCCATCATCCTCGCAGATTGTTTCACTCACACCAGACTTCTTGCTGCCAGTGGCTCGGATGAGTTGGAAGAGCTTCCGGTAGTTACCAGATGCAGCTGCTGCTTCCAGCTCATTAGCACGCTTCGACCACCAGGCTTCTCGGTCCTTACGCAAGCTTTGCCCAATTTCCTTACGTAACATCCTTCGTTTATGGTCAAACTCACGGTCACCCGGAGTAGACCGACGGGCTTCAATGAGTTGTAAGGAACCAGAAGAAACCCAGTGCTTAAAGCGGGACGTTTCGCAAACCCACAACTGACTGTTCCCGCCATTTTCATGGCGTCATGCAATTGCAACCAATGCTCATCTATACTTTTCGGTGGAGTGGTAGCTAGCCTAGAGGCTAGCTCGGTTCGATACTTACTTGCAACAGAAGTTGCAACCAGCTTGCTAACATCAATCCGTTGATGGCGGTCACTTCGTTGTCCACTGAAAAGTAAGGCAAGATTGGCGCAGACCAAGGCATGGTCAGAGTCCAGATAGGTACTCCAAAAGGAGCGGCAGTCTTGTACACAACCACGCCAGCGGTAGCTGATCGCGATGTGATCAATCTGAGTCCAGGCTTGAGATGCAGAGGGAGGACGCCAGGTGGCACATCGGCGATGACTGTGCCGAAAGTTAGTGCTAGCCAGAAACAGGTTGTGGTCTGTGCACAGTTGCAGTAGACGGTCCCCGTCCTCTCATTTTCGTAAACAACACCCCCGCCACGAGAAGGCAGTGAGTAGGACTTCCCTGGCAGAGGCTGTATACGCGCGGCCGTGTGAGAGTATTTCGAGAGGGAGGGCGGACTCACCCCACTCTCGCCGTACCAGGGCATTCGGGGGCTCACCGTTTTCACTTTAGATCATTCGTGTGTATGGAAATATGACCGAACTACTTGTACAGTGTGACCAGATGCTAGTAGTAATTAAAAGATGGTGAGTGAAACATCAGTTCTTATAATTTGGTAAATATCAACTTCACTGTCTACTCGTTCGGATATTTTATTCCGTATCAGCCCGAAAGTGACAAAGGTGAAAGCTGGTCTGCGCGATTGATAAGAATGTTAGCTTTCAATGAACCCTATAATTGTTTTCAGTTCTTCAGACTGAATACTTTGGAAAAGCGTTAAAAATATGACTACGAAGCTGATTAGTTCTCTGTTGTTTCAGTTGTGGAAACTATAGGACAGCAAACAAGTTCCCTCCAACCTCTTCAAAGTAATAGAGTTTTGTCTGCTTTAATAGGTAGTAACGAGAGGATTTTAAGGTTTGAAATAGTCTGGATTTACAATCAACTCAACCAGGTTGACCACATATAGGTTTACAACAACTTGTGCTATTTAACATACCTAAACAAATTGAACTTATGCGGTAAAAAGTGGACTCAATATCACCAGACAGCATAGAATATTAATGTCATAGGTGGGAATTCTATGCGTTAAAATCTATGATTTACTCTTGCTACTTTGTAAATAGTCATCCATATCCAAGCCCAATCTTTTGTTTAGGTAGTCAGAATCCGGTCTTTAATGTATGATAGATAAAGTTGCGAAACTCTTGACTGAATAAATTTGAATGTCTCTATTTACAGCAATCATTTGTCAGTGTCCGATGTTCGGTTCAACAGATTTACCATTCGAAATACCTGGGAAGAGACAACCAAGTTTAATTCACCTTATAAAAGCACCATATCAGTCCAAAGAATTTGTGAAACTGAGTATAATATTTGGAGATGCCGAAAAGCTTTAATTTAAGGTTTGAAAACTTATTTAGTATCGTAATGAGAAATGATATGCGAAAACTATTCTTTACATAGTACTGTTTTTAGGGAACAAAATAACACAAAGCCAAGTACTTTTTTGTGTCAGAGAAATGAAAAGAATTGTTTTCATTCCTTTCTCCTCACTTCAATTGTTTACTATGTCATTTATTAACTTGGTGATCAGCTGTAATAACTTAAGTCGAAGTACTAGGATTAACATAAATTTAATCAATCAACATCAAATAATCTGTAAAAATTCAAAAGATCCAGTATTTATAACTTACAGCGACTGAAACCTTACACTACTAACTTCTTGTTTCGATTACTAAGGTTCCTTAATCTCATGCTCGTGTTACCTCTGATTGATGTCATTTGCTCTCGTTTTCAAGTGTAATTGCATTTCATGCAATTACTGAGTTGTCGGCTCATTTGTTCTCTTGTTCTTTTTTCTTTCAGATGATCTCACTTACTGCTCCTAACACCTTCAAGACAAGATACCTTCAGACTAAACACAAACCTACCAAAGACTAAATGTTATAATATCATCGCGAGGCTACCCAGTTTTTCGAAGTTTCAAAAGACATAGATTTAACATAGTCCGTTGTTTATCAGATCGAGGTTCCAATTTTTGCTTTTTTCTTGTCTCTGATTAATCAGAGACCTAAGTATTACTGTCTCTTTGACGTGCAAAGCTAAATGTGATTATCATACCCCGAGGCCAGATAGATCTATTGAAAAACCAGTTTAAAGGATTAGGTTTTAAATGGACAAAGTAAAATATATGAGACTGGTTAAATATGACTATCACGTTATAAGGTTCTATCATGCTGTAAAAAGATCTATTTTTAGTAGAGATACTTTCAACAGAGTTACTCAGTCTGTGTATACTGCCAACACGTCATTTAAAAATACTTTTTGGAGTTGAAAGTTAAGTCAACGTTATCACCTAACTCTGAAATCAAGACAGTTATCACCAAAGAGCTGATTCATCATCCTCTTCGTGGATTGCCCCATATATTTACATCGTCTGAAGTAAGGATCTTAAAAAATACTTTGTGGTAGGTCGTTCATGTTTATTAGTAGTAGCTGTAATCTCTTCAATATTTTTTTAGTATATCTGATCACTGGCACTATTGTACAAAACAACTCTCCATGTATTAGATGTAATACATCCCTTTATAATGAAGTGCAATTCAAATTACAGTCGGTATTTCTTGTGCTCAAACGTATTTTAAACATTCAGCTAATGAATATAATGGATGAGTATAAGACTGAAAGGAATCTAGAGGCTGGTGATTCTGTATTGATGTTATTTCCAATTATATATTAAGTTAAATGAAATGATTTTGAATGAAACCCAGAGTTCTCATATTTGAAATTTCTAATTGTGATATGTAAATGATTGGAGATCAGAGGATTGGTTTAGCCCATTCTCAATAAACACAGTTTACCCAAACTACTTACAAACGTGTTCAAATAAGTTTTCGTCACTATTTATGGATTGTAGTTTTTATTTGTTAAATTGCCTCATAGTTCCACGTCTCGTTGTCTAATATCATTTCTAGTAGTGTTTAACAAAAATGGATCCAGTCCTGACACCAGAAATGATACATATCGGCCCTCGCCATTATAGGAAAAATGCATCAAAGCAATGTTTTGTTCAGTCCTTTCCTACGTCCATTAGTCAAATCGAAGAGGTTCCAGATGCTGAAGAAGTAGATATAGATGAAAATGATCCAGAAACTATGGAAATAAATAGGAAAATTATGGTAGTTGATAATGGGTATACTGCTTCATTTGAGGTTCCACCGTTATTTCACAAGTTCATTGTTGGTGTTCAACACTCAAAAAAAAAACTGTTGGAAGACGAATTTCGTTGTTACATTGATGTCCCGAATTCTGGTTCTAGTTCTTCAATGGTCTCTGTTACTGCGACTTCAAGATTTAACGTTTTAAATGCATGTCGTCGTATTCTCTGGATAGTGACTGATGCACGTAATCGCTGTCAACCAACTCATTTCATTTGTTTACCAGTTACTTGTCCGACCGTTAAAGATAATTTTCAGGCATTCAAACAGTCTGTTTTACAAGCTGCTAGTGAATGTCCTCATGATTTTATGGGCGTGGATAGTTCTGTCTTTCATTCAGTGTCTACGTTACACTTCACTTTGGTAACTCTTGTGTTGGCTGATGAATCCGAAGTTGAAAAAGCATGTGAAATATTAACGACTTTCTACAAATCTCAAAGAGGTATTCAGTTGTTTGCATCTGGTCCTCTCCAATTGACTATTAAAGACCTTGAATATATGAATGACGACCCTACTTCTGTACATGTACTTTATGCAAAGGTTAGTGTATTTTGTCTTCTGTATTAGTGAATGTGTTAACCAGTTACGGCTTCACACTTAATACAAAATATGAATGTCTTAATTTTCTATTCTGTTTCGATTCTTATTATTATATGACAACATGTATTCATGAAGATATGGAGAGTATGAATGAGACGTGAATAAATTTTAAGTAAACTGTTGAATAATCTAAATCGCTTGCCCACTGATTAAGGTATTTATTTTTGATTATTGGGTTGCTAGGTTTAAACTCCTCTACCTACTTGGAATTGATCAGTCAAATAGTATCACCTGATCTCATACAAAATGTAACCGAAAGCCGTATATATATATATATATATATATATATATATATATATATATATATATATATATATATAATTTGTTCCTTATTATTCTACTGAATAGTCTGATGTTAAATCTCAAAGATTGGATTTTTATGTCTCGCCCTGATGATGGTTATTAGTAAGCACTGAACTAAGATTAAGGACCTAAAGTTATCCAGTGAGGAAGATTTATCATTATGTCAGTCTTTTAGCTTGACAACCAAAGTGTGAAGCTTGTCCGGCAGGCTTTTGTTACCACTAAGGTATGATATAAGTAGACAACATGTGAAATATTATCCTTGAATAACATCTTCAAACCCTAATTTTTCTGGTTACAGCTTATAATTTTACTACATCTAGCACTACGGGATTTGAATCGACAACTGCATCTCTGTGCTAATGTGGTGTGGCAACTCGAACTAATGTACGTACGTACGAAGTTCTACGTTGTTACTGACTGATTGAATTGCAATACATTTTTCCGAAAATTCTGTAGGATAGTTCCTAAAAATGAAATCGGAATAGTTGTGTGGGAAGAAGCATGAGAATATCAATCTGTTAACTTCTTAAAAGTCTCAGTTTATTAGTCCTCTATATTTGATTTTTCTCCAATTACAAAGTGGCATACCGTATAGAAAACGATATATAAGAGGAATCTTTTGTCATTTTTACGGATTATAGGGAAATGAGATACTCCAGCTAATAAATGTTTTGCCGCATTATCCAACTTTAGTTATTTAATCAATCAGTCGAATAAAACGGGAAATTCGGGAACATTATACATTGACCTAGTTTCCACACTTCATTGTGAGATGAAACTAATAAAATGCACTTCATAGTTGACCGATTCACATATACATTGCATATGACTGGTTGATTGATAAGTTTATCGTAATTAGCTGAATATGATGATTTTGCTTAGACCGACAAATAATTTGTTTTGATCTCAAATGATTATTTCTGTTTTTGTTTTTAATCATTTTACGTTAGCTGATGGAGTCATCGGATTCACAAAGACTACAAACAATTGCTAATGAACTATTGAATCTACTTACTGAACAAAATCTAACCAGCACTGGGTCATATCGTCCGGATAACAGTGTAAAATTACATATGACTTTACTTAATTCTAAGTATCGTCAGGAAAAAAGGAATTGTGACGCTTCATTTCACGGTTTCTCACCTAATACTCGTACATCGTTCAGCATAACCGGGATTTTAAAAATTGCAAGAAATTTTTACTTTACTGAAAATCAGTCTTTTCATCAAATTTGTTTGTGTGATCGTTTGTCATTTGATTCTTCAACCCAGTTTTATAAATGCTGTTGTAAGCTAGAGTTCACTACTGATGGTATACATTGTTCTCACATGAATAAAATGTGAATAGCTTTAATTTGAAATATTTCAGTTTAAGTCTTTCATCTACATTTTATGATTTGTGTATTCTGAAAATCCGACTTCGCAGATTATTTCTTGAGTTATTTGATGACAGTTTGATAACAAAACTATCTCATACTGTGTACAGTTTTATTTTATATCACTGTTCTCTTCAGTTTCACAATCTTTCTATGTAACCGCGATGTTCCAGAAAAGTAATTACTCGAATACATAATCAGTTTTCTATTTCTTCAGTTTTTCATTTCTCATACAAACTGCACTACCATTTGTAATAATAACAGGTTTTTTCTGATTGTAGATAGGTAATATTAGCTAGTTATGTCTACAATCAAGATTTTCCTTCAAACATATTGTTTATTTTATAAACTTAAGTCTACATGACTGAGTGATTGGATCAACTCATTATTCTACTCGTAGTTGAGTAACTCAAAATAAAATACTATTATTAGTTCATTTTTATAAAAGTTGTCGATAGAATACAAGGAATTATTTTAGTTCTCGAAGTTATTCTTCAATGTTAATTAATCTTAGTATCTTGCTTTAAATTAGAATTTGATTCTGTTTGATTAACAGCGCACGTGGTTCAGACAATTTGGTTGTGTACATTTTTAACTTTCATATAATTTAAGTCATGAAACTTAATAGTAGTTAATATAGGGTGGTTGTAAAAATTGTTGAATTTCATAACATCCATTGATCTAAGATAATTACTGAAAACTAGTTAGCATTAGAAAGTCCTAGACCTTCAGGTCTCGCGACAAGCGCCTAACCTTGGTGAAGTTGTGCATACTCACTGTTGAGTAATGGTTATTTGAATGAGTTCAGTTCATGATGTAATTCCAGCTAACAGATGTACTAGCACTGATAGTCTATTCACCTCTTGATTTTCATGTCTCGGTATCTCATCAACCTTTCTAATAAATCGAATTCAATGATGATGTATATTATTTGTCTTAACTGAATTGCTTTTGTTATTATCTAGTTAATTTCAGCCACAAACGGTTAGCAGAAATTCATTTCATATTAATTTTATTACTGATACTCTTTAAGACTTTAAAATACCTTACAATTTGCTTGTTCAAATTGGTTGTGCTGTTAATTTTAATAAAAGATTAGTCATGTGAAGACAATCGAAATCATTGCACAATTATTGATTTTTATGAATTTGTCTTATACAGTTTTATACTTTTGAAAATCTATGATTTTATTACATTTTAGTAATATCCAGTCATTAAATTCCTTTTTACAACAAAAGACATGATAATAGTACATCATTTCTTGAATTTCCCTCCCAAAAGTCCTAAAAGTCTATACATTTAGGAATGATATGGAATGGGCGTTAAATCGATTTCGACATTTTTAGACACAACCCAGATGAAATCTCTCCA